TCATACGGGGGGCGTTTTCGTCAGACCATAAAAGTGAACTGCAGCACTTTATCCTATATTTTCGAAATTGCCACTTATACCAACTAGCGCTTTCCGTTAAAGGTTACAGAACTTAAATGACCAAAATACCCTTTTGCGTAAACGCTCCACGGCTTTTCTGTTCACGAAATCATCGTGAGCCGAAGGGTAATTTAGACATTTCAGCTAAACCCTGATAATCACGCTGTGGCAACGTGGCCTACTTTTCCCCGAGCGGGAAAAAAAACAAAACGCTTCGATGGTTGCCACGTACTACCCGGCTCGATATCTGTGTGAACTGCCACGTGGATGACACGTGGCATGATCCAACCGTCGAAAATTTTATATAAATTGTCCCCACCTTCTCTTCAATCTGTTCCTTGTGTTCTCCTCATGAGTCCAAACAAGCGCTCCTTTGAATTCTCTCTCTCATCCGAGTCACCATTTTTGCTTGTTGAGCTGTCTTTCCTCCGGCGAGGTAGTTATTGGCTAAAGGAAATGGAAGCTCCGGCGATGGAGTATTTTTTGGAAGTACAAAGCAAAGACGTCACGCTCTCGGTTCGTCGCGTGTTTCGGGAACTTTAGCCGTATCCATAAAACTCCTCAAGCAAAAGCGACTTTTACTTGGCAGAGTTTTGAAGTTATTCCATGCTTTGTCTGGCAAAATCAGAGTCAAGCCAAGTATATAATAATCGGAGTATAGGAGGTGCATATTTTAGACTAGGAACCTCGAATTTTGGTTTAGTTAATCTATCTTTGGCAGAATTCTGGATCCTTGTGGAAATTTAGGTTCCATTAGATCTCATTACGAGAGATGTGTTCTGGAGTTAGGAATCAGACTGGTGTGTTGATTGCTTCGATCTTTGTATTGAATCGGAGGAATCTTCAGCTTTTTCTCTCAGGTTTAAAATTTTAGTTTCTGCTAACCGCGAGGATTTGGTGCATAACTGCAGTCTTCGTTCTCGAATTTTAGTAGTGGAGACGAAGATTTACCAAAAGATAGTGTATCCTAGTTGGAGTTTTAGAGGTTTACTTCAATTGTCCATTTTGCTCTGGTTTTTTTGGACTATACTTTTTTAAACAACCTAGCCTTTGAATAATGGAGAAGAGCAATTGACAGTTCTCGAGATTTTTGGTCGCCGTGAGGATTTTTTTTCATCTCAATTTCTTGATCATTATCGTCATTTCGCAATGAAGATTCAGCCAATCAATTCTCAGGCACCAGAATGGGTAGGTCCGGTGGAGCCAGTGAAGCCGGCCACGAAATCGCGGCTTAAACGTCTGTTCGAACGCCAGTTCACGAGCGTTCTGAAGAATTCCGTTGCGGGAAAGATCTGCGATGCCGATGAGCCGCGTTCCAGCAGAGAAGGCTTATGCGAATTCGAGCCTAGCTCCGTATGTTTGGCGAAGATGGTACAGAACTTCATCGAGGAGAACAACGGCGGCAGCAGCAGCGAGAAGCAATCAGGTGCAGTTAGGTGTGGTCGCAACTGCTTCAATGGGAACTACAACGACAGCTCCGAAGATGAACTGGACTCCTTTGGTGTGTTTGGCGACTCCAATCTCTCTTCATCCGGTGAAGCGTGTGATATCCTAAAGGTATACACACACACAAGTCGATTAGTTAGCGGTTCTGTTTTTCTGTTTTCTTAACGCTTTCGTGGTGATTTTGTGGAGAAATAACGAAGATATTCCTTTTTTGGACAGAGTCTGGTCCTCTGTGCGAGCGTTTCAGAGAGGAATTTACTGGCTGACACTTCGAAGATTGTCGAGAAGAACAAAGTCTGCAAGCGCAAAGATGATTTATGCAGGAAAACTGTTGCTGACGGATTATTGGGGTTGGGATACGACGCTTCAATATGCAAGTCTCGCTGGGAAAGATCCCCCTCATATCCCGCCGGTAATTTCCGTGTTTAAAAACTTTATCTTCTATCTTGCGAGAATATCTACATTTTCTGTTTGGTTATGGTTTCCGATAACATTCAGGAGAGATAAGTTGGAATTTATTTTTCATTTTTAGTCAAATTTGGATTAATACATTTCTGCGGTTTGGTTGATTCCTTTATTTGAAAGAAAGGATGCAACAGAAAGTTGGTATTGCTTCACACCAAACATTTGGGCTTTTCTTCAAGCCGAGGAAACGGTGTATGGAATCACGGAAGAAGTTCACCCGAAAAATTGACTACTGTTCTTTTCTTTAGGCCGTAGACACGTATTGTTAGGCTGTTTGTTTGGCGAGAAAAATGTTTTTCCATTTTTTTTCCGCTCATCAAAAATCATATTTTTCCTTTTCTAATTGTTAATCTGAAACGGTACCCAATCGAGGAAGAAATGTAACGGTGGCTGCCTCCTGTTACAGGAGAATACGAGTATATAGATGTGATAATTAAAGGCGAGCGACTGTTAATCGACATCGATTTCAGATCAGAATTCGAAATCGCTCGATCCACGAAGATGTACAAATCTATTCTTCAAACTCTCCCATACATCTTCGTGGGCAAAGCCGATCGGCTGCAGAAGATCGTTAGCCTCGTATCGGAAGCAGCCAAACAGAGCTTGAAGAAGAAGGGCATGCCTGTCCCTCCATGGAGGAAGGCAGATTACGTCAAAGCCAAATGGCTTTCTCCTCACGGCCGAGCAACATCAAACCCCACCGGAATTGAAACCCTCGCCAAACAAGAAAATAAACAGTCTGTGGCCGCACCGAGCAAGTTCGAAATTAATCATGGCGACACATCTGGGGAAGAAGACAAGTCCAAGGCGGTGGTGGAGGAGTGGAAGCCCCTTGATATTAAGCCCAAGGGTTCCCGGATTGGTGTTAAGATGGTGACTGGTTTGGCTTCAGTAATTGAAGATTGAGAGCCATGAAATTTTGATCTTTTTTTTTTTTTTTAATTGCATCACTGTTTTTTTTTTTGGGTGACTATAACCAATCAAATCCAAAAAAAGGTTGTAATATATATAACTTGCTGGATCCCTTATGCGTTTTTTTATGTAAGGGTCTGATATGATTCTGTTTCCTACCGCCCGGATGCTAACATTAATAAGATTCTTACAATAAGATTTGAACAGTGTTCTTCACTAAAATCTCTCCCTTTCTCCTCTATCTCATTCTTGAATGTGAGAATAATTGAGGTTTTAATAAGTTTGGATATTGTTCTTGCTGATTAATTACTTTTCATCATTTTTTGTTTTTTTTTTTTAATTGGATCTTCTGCAGAGAAGCAATCTTTTGAGTCAGAGGAATCAGATAAAGCTCCGCAGAGAAGGTACGAATTCTTCATTTGTTTATCCGTTTCCTTTGGATTACTATAATATACTGGTCTCAGGTGTTGGTTTAAATTAATGATACTTTATTTCTTCTCCAGTGGGTGGGTGAACCAAATTACATAATGAAGAGAGCAGGCTCGTGCAGTTTTGAGTTGTGTGAGGTTAGAGTTGACAAGAAACTACTCATTTCTATTTTTTTTTAAAAGAGGTTTTAAACGTTCCTTCACATGGGCTTCTTCTTACTTTATTCATGTTTTCTCAAAACTGGTCATCATCATTTTTGTTTCTTTCTACTAGTAACCAATATTCATAGTTTATTCCGTCTGCCAAATGCTAAAATCCTATAAATCTTTTATTCACCTATTTACATTTGATATTTCATGTTTTTGAAGAAGCAGTGTATGTTTTACCTAGGTTCAGTCTTTCTTTAAAAGAACTCTTCCCCTCGTTCTTTAAACTGTACGATCTTCAATAGCTAATAGAAAGTTCGTCCGTGGTGAGGATAAATTTCTGTCTCCCAAGGCATTCTACGGTATACAGCTTTTGGTTTTACTTAATAACTGAGCAACTCCTAATTAGGGTATACAGCAGACTGCTAAGTGGGTGAAAATTTGAAACCAAAAACTTCATTACCAATTTTGTTTATCAGATTACTTAGGTACCTAATATTACTAAAGAAAAAGCTGATACTGAAAAAAAGCTTGGAAAATCAGTATATTACTAAATTGTAATTTATTCTGAATTCAAAGTTTCTAACTTTTTTGCCTTTTTTCTTTAAAAACATTACAGTTTTATTTTATTCTGTTTTCCTTTTCTTTTTTGCTCTCTCGTAAATACTGGCTAAACATCAAAACAAGCTTTGTCGTTTACCAAATGTATCTAATAACATCTTTTAGAAATGTTATTAGATACCCTCCTCCTTCCTAATCTTTGCTCGCATAGAATCAACATTTTTTAAACATATATGAATATGTTAAATTATATTATGGAATTTATAACCATTTTGTACTGCATCTAATGATATTCAATTTTAATAATCATGTTTCGATTATGTACATGTGTATGGCAAAACCAAAATGTAATACTTTTTTGAAGAGACATTGAGAGTACCAAAAAGCTGTAAGATAAAACTATGGTGGCTTCTTTTTAACCTTTTATTGGTATAAAACTTTTGAGTTAGTAAAACATATGCATTATTGAATAACGAGTAAATATACATATATATATATACACGTGTGTGTGTATATATTTATTTAGCTTATAAACTCAGAATGTTTTGGTAAAAATTATAAAGGATATTTATTATTATTTATTGTTTGCATTGCTATCAATTAAGAAAATTTTATATAAAGAAATAAGTTTAGTGAAAACACTTTTGATGGTAATTTAATAAAATTTATGTAATAATTTTAACAATGACTATAAATAAATAAAGATTAATGATATAACTACATATGTTAATTATGATCATATTAATGATAAATATATATAATTTTTTAATAAATAATTTAATGATTATTAGTGTATAGTAATGTACTTAGTGATTTTTAACAATATTATTTTAATTTTTAAACTTTAATTCATGTTAAAATTTTAATTTTAAATGTATTAATCATTACATTTTGACCAAATCATTTCATTTTTTAAAAAAATACAAATCTAGAAACTCCTTGAAGTTTAAAAGTAATTTTTATCTTTTATGCACATGGATGAAGCTTTATATATATATATATATACATGCACCTTAGCCAAGTTAGAAAAATGGTTTTATTTTTCTTGAAGAAAAAAAAAAAAAAAAGAAAGAATCAAACTTTCATCAAATTTGATTTATTTAAAATGTATTGTTGCAATTTTATATAAAATTTAATATATGGTTGGTTTTTTCATTACAATGTAATTCATAACCTCGAATTTAAAATAAGTGTTAGTTTACACATAAGTTCTACTAAATTTGAATATTTCAATCTAACATATCCCTAATCATTCATAAGAAATGAGTGGTACATGACTCTTAGGATTTATTTTTAGTACTTTTAAAATGTTTCAATAGCTTTTAATTTTCTAAATTTGCATTGATGGGCTATGTTTAAAAGGGTTACTAGATTTATGGTTGGTGTTCGATTTATGGGTTGGGTTGTGATGTGAAAATGAGAAATGGGTTTGAAAATAATCACTATAGCTCAACATGGGTTATATACTCATAAACCATATTTGATAATATTCAAATAGTGAATTTACAAACCAAAAACTCATTTGGGAGACTTATTGATGATTCAAGAAAATGAAGAGTATATATCTTTTAAAATTCTCATTTTTGTTTGAAGTCTATCTAATTGAAATCATTGGATGCATGTATTTATATGTAAGAATGTCAAATGACCCGTTATAGACAATTTAAATTCGATTTTATATTATAAACTATGATACAAAATGTTATTTAAAATATATAATAAATTACGTATGACATATTTTACAAAATTGTTAGTTTAATCTTAAAATAAAAATAAATTTTTAAATTTTATTTTGATTGAACATTGTTTATATAACGTAAGTATTATTTACGTTGACAGTTCTAAAATTTGATTTTTTTAAAGTTTTAAAAAATATTTTAATTTAAAAACTAACGTGATTTATATTATAAAATAAAAAAATACATAACTAATTACATATATAATTGAATATGTATATTTTAAAATGTTTTGAACTGTGTTTTATCATATTACTTTATTGATTATATCAACATCTTAAAATGATATTATTTGAATATAAAAAGGTGATTATTCAAATTATATCTATTAATATAGTTATATTTTTTATAATTTTTTTTCTAGAGTTTTTTAATTGTATAAATTATGTCTTAAAAGATAATTTTAAAAATTACTATTTATAAATCTAATATCTTTTAGAATATTGAGAAATTAACTTTAAATCCAATGGTTAATATATTTTTAAAGAAAATTGTGAGACTTTAATTTTTACATAATATAATAAATTAAAAGTGATTTTACTATTTGTTTGAGTCAAGTTTTTCTTGTTATCTCAAAAATTCAAATAGTATAATTAATTGAAAAATAAATTTATATAATTTATCAAAATTAATAATTTAGTACCTTTTGTTTAACAATAATATATTATAATTTTGATTAAATTTATTAATTAATTTTCTTCAAATAATGCATATAATAAATTAAAATTAAATTATAAAATAATTCATAGTTTAATAATTAAATTATTAATAATCCGCGGATTAGAAGATATGATTAGACACGTTGCAAATACTCTTGGGCGGTGAACTTACGAAAAGAGAAAATTTTGGGTGCAAGAATTTAGGGTTCAGGGTTCAAGCAAGCTTTAGCTTGCCACTGCAACTACACTTGCCATTTCGAAAGTTCACGAAGGGGGGATTGATTTTGTTTGCTTCTCACTCAGTTACAGAGAGCTTGACAGGTAAAAATGCCGCTAGGCGAAAGAGGAGGCTGGGACAAGAGTGAATCAAAGTACTGCGGAGTGGAGACTGACTTTGACGATGACGTGCCTGCTGTTCTTTCTTTTAACCTCTCCGCCGGAGGCTTTGATTTCGTCCTCGCTCCCTTGGTTTGCTTTCCTTCTATCTTTTGCTCTCTTTCAAGTTTTCTAAGCAAACTCGCATTTCCAGTGTCGTTTCTTCCTATTTTACATATAGGCTTCTATTGTATGTATTGGCTTGTGAGAAATGCATGTTTTCTTTTTCTTCTGTTGGATAGTCGCACTTAAGCCAATGGCTGTTGATTTGTGTAGTCAAATATTATTTGCTGCATCGTGATGCATGGACATTTTTGGTGTACCTTGTAATGTTTATGCTTGTGTTATTTAATCATCCAGATGGATCCTACTTATAGGCCAAGCTTAAGAGAAGAGGACATTCACGGCTCCCGTGCTCTGCCATTTGCTGGTTCAGATTTAGTTTTGAGCCCGTCCCAGTGGAGTAGTCATGTTGTAGGTAGGAAATTTCTTTACCTTGTTTGCCTGTCAATTTTGCAATTCTTTCGTCTAACGTCATATAGTTATTTGTTTTTTCGAAATTGTCTTTTGAGTCATCTGTTGGATGTATACTACTAATATGGATGGTAAGGAATGGAGTGAGAAATGAATTGACAACTTAACTGGTCACTATGGATGTCTGGAAATCTCGCAGACGAATGTAGATGATATCTTGTCAAGGGACGGTATTCTGTTTTTCTCATTTGGTAGAATTACAGCCGGATTAACCTGCAGGTTATAAGGCCGGTATGCGGGACAGGTACTGGTTTAACTCAGGCTCTCTTCCCAGTGGTGGAGTCTTATTCACTAGGCTCTCTTACCAGATGTGGGGTATTATCAGTATAACATGAAGTTTAGAAGCATAATGATTGTTGGATTTGTTTGTTATAATTTTTTAACCTGTATGTTACTAATTAATAGGATTGCACTGCATTTCACTAATTTCCTTTTTGCTAGTTCTAGCGATTTGATGTCAGTTATGCTCTTTTTCCACGTATTGTTGATTTTTACTTTGGTATATATTATAAGAATTGCTTTAAATTTTAATCAAATTTGATCTTTGGTGTAATGTTTTGCTGTTTTTCCTTAAGACCACCAATAATTGGATTCTTGATTATATTTAGGAAAAATTAGTTCGTGGATTGACTTGGATTCAGAGGATGAGGTACTTCGGATGGATTCTGAAACTACCCTGAAGCAAGAAATAGCATGGGCCAGTCATCTTTCCATACAGGTCTGCATTGTTTAGTGTTTGCCCTGAAGGTTGCACCTGTAAAATCTACATTGTTTTCTTGGCTATGTGTAATTCTCCTTCATGCATCAGTTGCATAGGCCATGCTAGAGGGATTCACATTGGTGGAAGTCATATGCTTTCCTTGTACTTAGTTCTTTTCTAATGTGATATCAGGATATGATGGCATCTGGTCCTTTTAATATGGTTAAGTTAATTCAGAAAACTAAGCAGCATATATTTAAAAAGCACATTTTTTGTAACATTTCCAATGACATTTTTATCTGTAATTTTTGTTCACATACTAGTGGCCAAAACATGTGGAATTCTCTTAAATTGTAAGATCACTTTGCAGTGCAATATCTGAGTTGTTCTGATGCTTTTCTTTGAGTAAGTATTATGAGGAAATTAACTATGAAAAATGTTTCCTTGATGTGGACTTTAATACTAAATATCGTGAGTGAATTCAGTTTTAATTGGCAGTTATCAGTTTCCTAATTGTATATAGTCATAAGCATTCGTGATGCTCTTGTATTTGTAAGTATTTGTTTCACAACATTTTTTACTGTTAAATGCGGCCTCTGTGAAATAACTCCTTTTCTTTGGTGAAGAGTTAAAAGGTTTGGTTCTAATACTTGTTGTTGGTGCAGGCTTGCCTTCTCCCTACTCCTAAGCAGAGATCATGTGCCAATTATGCTAGATGTGTGAATCAAATTTTGCAGGGCCTAAACAATATGCAGGTGCTTTTCTACATCTATTTTTTTTGTACTTTTCGTTCCTTCATTGTGTAATTTCAATTATTGTATATCTTATCCTTATGTTTGGTCATCTTTCCTTTTTCACTTCTTTAATGAAGTTGTGGCTTAGGATTCCACTGTTGAAGACTGATGATGATTCTATGGGTGTAAACTGTGATATTCTAGTAAGTGAAGCCATGCTCAATTAGGTTACCTTATGCTCCCTCTCTCTCTCTCTCCTCCCTCCCTCTCTCTCTCTCTTCTCTGTTAACCTCAATATCTATCTTGGGTTTGAAATGTTTCTTTTGATGTAAAAGGAGAAATTATTGTTGCTTTTTCTGTGGTATTAATCTACTTCTGTAGAAGCTTTTGGTCAATCATTTAAGTTTCTACCATACTGAATGCCGAGGCATTGGCAGGTCTTAGTATCTATTAGGAAACTTATTCTTGATG